GGCTCTAAACGCCCAGAGAATAGTTCCAGCCTGCAGCGCTCGGCGGGCCCGTGATTGCTTTTGGATACATTTTTCCATAATCGGAAACAGATTTAGCACGTTAGCCAAAAGTTGATGTCATTATCTTTCAAGATTGCCTTTCACAGTCTTTTGAAACTAAACTCTTTAGGGTAAACCAGTATTTGTACTGATTATAATAACAAGGTACACGCTGTTTAGAATTACACATTCCATCCATTTTTAATGTTAGTTTGTGTGACATTTTTCTTATCACTGTGTCTAAAAATCTGGCAAAAACCTAAGGGTTTATTCTGGTTCATGATCTGAGGGGCTAAATCTATCACGGTGAAGAAGACACAGCACCTGGTACAGCTTGGTTCATGCTAGCAGAGATGGGTAGCAGCTGGTTTTTTTCAGGGCATCAACCAGGAAGCAGAGAGGGTGGGCTGAAGGCAGTGCTGGGCTGTAATGCAGGAAGCCCTTCCCTTCTACACATCCATGTTTTTAGCCTAGGTCCAATCTCCTAAGGATTCAAGGATCTCCCCGCAAACAATGCCATCAGCTGTTGGTCAATGTTCAAACTCATGATCTGATATGAGCCTTTACACATTCAAACTGTAACAGTTTGCCCCACACCCATGGGCTCATGATTATCTCGAATGCAGAGTTCATGCTGTCTAACTCCAAAAGCCCCCATTATAGGGAAACACTGTTCAAAAATCCAAAGTCTTTTCTGAGATATAAGGCAATATTTTAACAGTGAACCTTTGTTAAACAACAACAAATTATATACATGCAATATACAGTGGCCCAGAGTAAATATTCCCATTCCAAAAGAAAATAATAAAAAATAAAGATTGAACCGAAGTATAGCGCAAACCCCACAGGACAAACTCTGTGTCTATATCTATCACCTGAGGCTCATGATGACATCATGCAGGCTCCAGCAGTGTTAGATAGTTTGGTTTCTATCACTATGACAAAGACAACCACCAAAAGCAACTTGGATAGGAAGAGGCTTCTTTGGCTTACACAACCTTCACAGTCCATCATGAAGGCAAGTCAGAGCAGGATCTCAAGGCAGGAACTAAAGCAGAGACCATATGAAGAGGGGCTGGGCTGCATGCATCTCAAGCTGACCGCAGATCTTGAGATTGTTGACTGAGTGCACTGGAGGATCAAAGAAAGAGGGTCACTCAAGGATGAATTAAGGCCTTTCTGGCAGCAGGGAGATCCAGCCTCTGTGAACTGAATGTCGAATAGCCTTGAAAAAGCATTTTTATTGATTGTTACACAAAAGTTGATTTGGGGGTAAAACAAGTTCCTCATACCAAAGCCCCTTAATCTTTATGTTTGGTGAAAGAAAACATCATACCCCTGCTGCTCTTACTGGGTACTGCTTGCAGTATTCAATAATGCAAGACATTCCAGGTGTGATAGGACTCTCTTGTGACCAAAATCATGCAAGGCTGTAAAGCTTCTTCAGGAAAACAACTCTATAGATAATAGAAAACAATCAGTGTTTTCTACAATGATTTCTTCAAGGTCAAAGCACGTGGAGAAGACAATCATTTCATTCTAATGTTTATCCTAGATAGAAGATTCTATTAGGCTTCCTGCTACAGTTGATCATACAGTGCTGGTTTTGAAGGCATGCAGAACACAGGCGTTACATGGCCATGAATGCTACTCAGAAGTTCCACAAAGCCATGCAATTAGCATGTAGCAGAGTCAGATTTCCTGGAGGGAGGTCCTAAGAAACTGTTAGTGAACCTGTGAAAATTAAACTTAATTTAAAACAGAGACCCACAAGATATTGGAGATGTCAGGAAGATTGGAGGGACTCCTGGCAGGGACTGAGTGTTATCTATGCTCTGCAGAAGAGCTGTAGAAGCCTGTCCTGCTTAGACTTAATTTTTTTTAATGCCAGTTTGCTGTGAGGCTGGTCATGTGAGAAGGGGAGGCTTCATTTGAGAACATACCTCTACTAGATTAGCATACAGGCAAGTCTGTGGGACATTTTCTTCATTAATGATTGATGCAGGAGAACACAGCCTCTAGTACAATTCTCAGTAGAGTCCTTGATCCCCCTTTAAACCACATGGGTAGTTTTTTCTTAAAGCAGAAGAAATTTTTATTTTTTTGTATTTGTCTGCCTTTGTACGGTGGCTCTGCTCCTCCACGCATTGTCCGTAGTTGCTCATTAAGTGCTTAAGAGGGCTTCTGTGCCTCACATGTCCAAGCTTCTCCACATTCCTCCCCAAAAGGAGTTTGTTGTTGTTTTGATTTTGCCTAGACAGGGTCTCACTATATAGCTCTAGATGTCCTAAAACTTTGCTAGGTAGATCTGGCTGGCCTCAAACTCGGAGATCCACATGTCTCTGTCTCCCAAGGGCTGGGATTAAAGGTGGGCACCATTATGCAGGTCTCCACAAGTCAGTTTCAAGGCCCTGTGAATTACAAGGCCAAGTCCACCACAGCAATGGCCACACTTTCTCAGAACAAATTTACTTGATTAGTTACTTTTCTCATTGCTGAAAGTAAATACTTGACAAAGAACAACTTAAAGGAAGATTTATTTTAGTTCGTAGTTCTAGAAAAGAGAGTCTATCATGGTGGGGACATGAGAGGAGGACTAGTTTAGGTTTTCTGGGAAGTGGGAGAGCAGGAACATGCAGTATCAGTTTGTTAAATGGCAACAACCAAAAAGTAGAGTGCTCATGAAGCAAGGCTCTGCTATTATCTATTAGACACACTTCCCAGCAACCAACCCACATACTACAGCTAAACCCAATCTCCCAAAGAAATGCCATTAGGTAGGGACAAGTGTTCAAAGTATTTAGGGGACATTTCATATTCAAACAACAGTTTTTATTATTATTATTTTTTACAGGTATTTTGCTTGTATATGTACATGCACACCAAATGCATGCTTAGTGTCCATGGAGTTCAGAGGAAGACACTGGATTCCCCTGGAAGTGGGATGGTTGTGGTTGTGAGCCTCTGTATGGGTGCTGGGAATCAAACCTTGGTCTTCTCAAAGAGCAGCCAGTGCTTTTAACCAGAACTCTCTCTCTAGGCCCAATACATATTAAAAACAAAACAACAACCAACAAACCACACAGTAGTCTCCTGATACAAATCTGTTTTATGTAGATCAAAGCTCAATAGTAGTTTTTAAATTAAAAAACAAAACTTTTATTTCCTTCTTAGGCCCAAAAATTGTACACGCACTTAAAATCCAAAACATATGATTGAAAATAAGCAGGACGTGAAACTGTGAAATCTCTTCCAATGTAGTTTTCATCATTGCTTCACCATAGACCTCACACTGCTTTTCTCATTGCTTTTGCCATTTCAAATGTAGGTCTGGACAGGAGACAGTATTCAGCTTTTAGGTAAACAAAAGACAGAGTTAAATAGTCTTTTAATTTGAATGTGAAATATCACAAAACCATGTGTTCTTTAAACATCAGAATGATGCCTCAAGAAGTAATTTATTTATAAATTGGTTTCAATTTTTACAAAAATTGGACAGATTTCTGATTCCTATGTGCAAGCTATATACACAACTGTTTCACTGTCCTCACTAAGCTATTAATTAGAATTTCATGGTGCATACAGCTGCTAAGTCACTGTCCATTTTGAGCTGCTTTAAACTATTGCCACAGACTAGGTCACTTATAATAAATATAAACTTACTGGCTCATGGTTCTTGAAGCTGGAAAATCCTAGAACAAAAGATGGGGCTTGGGGGAGTGTCTTCTTGCTCTGTCATCCATAGAAGAAAGCAGGACAGAGGAAACGAGAGAAGGAAGGAAAAAAGAGAAAGAAGGAGGGAGGAGATTCCCTCTAAACCCACAGTTTCACAGTGAGCCCATTTTTGCAAGGATTCATCAAGGATAAAGTGCTGTTCCCGTGACCAGCCACCATTCGTTGTTTTCATCCCTCAGTGCCGTCACAGGGGATTAAATTTTCAATACCCCCTTTCCCAGAGACATATTCAAATGTAGCACACAGTGATATGTTTGAAAAATACATTGTTTTCCTTTTTTTCAAACACAAAACATTTTTTTATTAATTACAGTTTATTTACTTTGTACCCCAGCTGTAGCCCCCTTCCCCATCCCCTCCCAATTCCACCCTCCCTCCCTCTTCTTCTATGCTCCTCCCCCAGTCCAATGATAGGGGAGGTCCTCCTCCCTTTCTATCTGACCCTAGCCTATCAGGTATCATCAGGACTGGCTGCATTGTCTTCCTCTGTGGACTGGTAAGGCTGCTCCCCCCCCTCAGGTGGAGGTGATCCAAAAGAGCCAGCCCCTGAGTTCATGTCAGAGAGGGTCCCTGTTCCTATTATTGGGGAACCCTCTTGGACACTGAGCTGCCATGGGCTACTGTTCTGCCCAGTTCACGAACCCCAAAAGACCAGGAATAAACAGACTGTGCTGTAAATACATGAGGTTCTTTTTATTGTAAATTACAAGCTGCAGCTTGGGCCCACACCCCCCACCACAGCCGAGCCCCACTGTGCTCAGGTTAGTTGGGTGATTTAAAGATTCTGGTCCCTTCCAGCACGCCCAAGGCAGGGGTGATACCTGCCTGGCAAGCATCTATTGGTCAAAATGCTACATTTTGAATTGATTGGCTATAGGAAGGTCCTCAGACCATTAATGACCTGGTGTCCCTCCCTAGGGGGATGGGCCAGTTTCCTAGCAACTGTCTCTCCGGTGGGTGGGCTAAGAATGCAGTAAAGCCGTTCTTCCCCTCAGGGCATTCCTGGACTTCTCCACCCACCTAGTTCAGGCCTTGAATAATAGCTGCTAATTTTTAATCTTTTGGTCTCTCACTACTTCTGTGCAGGGGATCTAAGCTATCTCCATGCATGGTCCTTGTTTGGATTATCAGTCTCAGAAAGGACCCCTGTGCCCAGATTTCTTGGTTCTGTCGCTCTCCTCGTGGAGCTCCTGTTCCCTTGAGGCATTGGTTTTCCTTTTAACGGAATGCTTAATTTTACTAAATCTCCCATCCTAGTGACTTTTGCCAGCTGCTGCAGTAGTAGTGCCTTTAGAACACTTCTGGTTAAACTCGGTGGGTCTCAAAACAAAACAAATGTAGATAAACCTATCACCAGCCAGCAAAACAAAACAAGTAAATAACCCCAAAGACACGAGTTTGGTTAAGGGATGTGTGGGATGTGTGGGATGCACACAGACTTGTGGCCCTTGTGTAGCGACGGTGACTGGGTGTACAAATAAGCATGTACAGAATCTACAGGTGTACTGACGCAGTTTAGTTTTTTGTTTGTTTGTTTGTTTTTTAATTCTCCCGGTGGGCAGATTTTAAGAGGTATATCCCTTTCTTTGTAAAAACTGCAACAATTCTCTGATGGATTCCAATGGCTTCATAAGGACTCCACTCGTTGTTGGCCCAGCTTTCATGAAAGAGGGCAGAATTCGCTGTTATTTTAAAAGGATAGCATGTGTTAGAATGGCTACCCATCCTCGAGCTGACGGAATGGGAGGAGCTGGCATGCTCAAATATTTTTCTGATCTTTGAGCCTTCGCAGACTTCAGAGCCTACCATAGAGCCTGCCATAAGAAATGCTCAGTGAGGACCTAGTCCCACCCACCATTGGCAAATAATTTAAATAATTATAATCAGCAGTCATGATTAGCAAGCAATACAATGATGTTTTGTATTAACACTGTATATTCAAAATATTTTACAGTATATTTTCTGGAAATGAACACTTTTGTCATGTAATTCTACCATTATGCAAGGATTTTGTTTTGGTTTTGGCTTTTTCAAGAGAGGGTTTCTCTGTGTAGACCTGGCTATCCCGGAACTCGCTCCGTAGACCATGCTGGCCTCGATCTCACCGAGATTCGCCTGCCTCTGGCTCCTGAATGCTGGGAGTAAAGGCTTGGCCCACCACCGCCACGCTCTCCTTTTTTTATTTTTTGTACAGGTTTCACTACCTACTCCCCACAGTCCTGGATCCTCCTGTCTCAGCCTCCCAAGGCAGCCAGTTCCTGCTGTCCTTTTACAAAAGCTCGCTAACTTGCCAAGCTACTGACAGAGGAGAGCCAGAAAAACACCTGGGCCTGAGCCCGCGCCTCCGCCCCCCCCCCGCATTCTTCATTGGTCCGTATCCTGTGACGTCATATCTGCGGCGTCCCGGAGGCGGGACTTCCTGGCCAGGTGTAGGCAGTTTCTGGCGCGCCGGAAGTCCCTGGTGAGGGACGGGAAAGCCTGCCCGTGGGAAGCTCTGCGGAACCCCGCATTTCCTGTTTTAGGAGGAGAGTTTGTGTGTTAGCGAGCGCCAGCTCTGTCGGGGTGGTGAGGAGCGGGAGCTGGGGCATGGACAGCCGCCTGCAGGAGATCCGGGAGCGGCAGAAGCTACGGCGGCAGCTCCTAGCTCAGCAGGTGTGCGGGCGGCTGGGAGGGATCAGCAGTGCGCGTGCGCGGCCAACCCTGCCCGCTCCCCCCCCCTGCCCAGCCCGCGTTTTTTGGTCAACTTTCTTCTGCCCTTGTCAAGGTCCTTGTCCCGAGGCTTTTATTCCCTGTCCCCCACCCCATGTGCCTGTCAAAGTCATTACCTAGAACAGCCAGTACTATTTTGGGGCTTTATGGACCCACCGTTGCGGCACGGACTTGAGTGGGAGTGGTGGGGACAGACTTGGCAATGGTCGATTAGTGCTAGACGTTCATACAAGGTCAAGTGGCTTGTTACCCTCTTCCTTTCACCTTCACTAGTTAAGTAGTGTTTCGTTTCTTGCTTTTTTCCAAGCCAGCTTCACATACTTTTTTTTTTTTTTTTAAGATTAGTTTTCATTTTAGATTACGTGCTTTTGTCCCTGTGTTGTCTGTGCACGTGAGTACAAGTGCTGTGGGTGCCGGATCTTCCTGGAGCTGGAGTTATAGGTGGTTGTGAGCCTCCTGATGTGAGTGCTGGGACTTGAACTCGGGTTCTTTGGAAGAGCAGTGCATGCTTCTAATCTCTGAACATCTCTCCATCCCAGCTATAGATTCTTGAGATTGGTCTTGAAGGAAGTTTGTATTGTTTTGAGATCCCGTCGAAAGACTCATGGAAGCAACCTGAGAGTAAATTTTAGATTCTGCACTTAAAACACAATCATCCTGCAACAAATATTTGAATTCTTACTTTGTAATTATTAGAAACAGGAAGTGTTATGTTCACTTACTAAATTAGGAATAGGTTTCCAAAAGATTGGTGTGTCTCCTGGCCAGTCCTTACCAGAGAACTGACTGAGATTTGTCCCTCCAAAGATTACTTTTCAAACCTTTCACTGAAGCTACAGGATGGATATGTAAGTGCTTGCCAGTTGGTAGTCTACACATGCAGAAATTACATATTACACGTTTTTATTTAAAATCTGAGGTAGTTTGCATTGCAGCATACAGATCAAAGTGATGGAAGGAAATGTTCAAAGCTTTCGTGAGGCAAAATCTAAATCTTGGTTCCTCAAAGAATTCTGAAGAAGTGACTCGTACTCTGAGATGAGAATTACAAATAGGAGTTAGTCACAGGACGGAAATTAGAAAACATTCTAACTATAGGAAGTTAATGTTCTGTCCTCTGACTGAAAAGAAGTAGATTTTTGGGGCTGGGAAGATGGCTCAGTGGTTAAGAGCACTGTCTGCTGTCCTAGAGAACCCAGGTTCAATTCCCAGCACCCACATGGCAGCTCACAACTCTCTGTAATTCCAGGAGCCAACACCCTCACACAGACATACATGCAGGCAAAAGTCCAATGTGCATAAAATAAAAATAAGTAAATAATTTTAAAAAGATTTTTATGGAGGAGTTGAAATTGATGAGCATTTCATGTATTGGAAGAGAGTTTTCATTGGAGAAATGAGGGCAGTCATATGAAGTGGTAGATTAATTTGTTTAAACTCAAAGCTGCTAATTTGTATACCTTCTTGCTCTGGAGCTAAAGGGACCACTACATGAAGGTTTTTCTTGTGGTATTCTAGTAGTCCCTGAGGCTATTCTGTGTCTTTAGGGTGCCTTGGGAAGTTTTCTGTGAATTGGCTCTTTTCAGCTTAGCCTTTGTGTACATTTGTTGCTTTCTGCAGAATTTCTCCAGCAGCCACTCAAACTTGCCATGTTAAGCTGTTAATAAATGTTATTAAAAACTCAGCTTTAATAAACATGAATAACTTTTTGCGAGAGCATGGGATAGAATACTATATATATATATATATATCTCATATGGCATGCTTTGCTTTTGGGTTATTGCTACTACTTCAAGTGTTTTCAAAATTGGCTAAAAGAAGTCATCTTAATTTCAAATATAACCAAATGCATAAAGTATTTTCCAGCTGACAAAGTCATTCTTAATTAAAAAGCTATTCTTCCTGTTCACTTGCAGTTTATCTTGCGAGCCTACTGACACTGTTATAGGCAGTGTTGCTTTTATAAAATACTTGACATATTAAAATTAGCAACACATGTTGAGTGTACGAACAGTGCCTTGTGACCTAATTTTTGAGTTTTTTGCTTCCTAGTTGGGAGCTGAAAGTGCGGATAGCATTGGTGCTGTGTTAAATAGCAAAGATGAGCAGAGGGAAATTGCTGAGACAAGAGAAACTTGCAGGTAAGTTGAGGAACTTTTTTAGTGACATGTTTATGGTGTGAAAGTATCATTTGCTTAATTTTTTAGATGTGACTTATTTATTCATGAGGGTTACTTAGGGGAATGAAACACAGTCTTGATCTGTAGCCGTGAACTTGCAGCAGCTCTGCCTGAACCTCATGAGAACAATGGGAGTCACCCATTGAGGGTTGTTGTTGTTTTTTTTTTTTTTTTTTTAAATGAACAATTAATTGTAGGTATGAAGGTGTTGTTAGGAAAATTGTGGAAATGGAGTTTTTGGAAACAGTTTTTGGTTTGTTGTTTTTGTTTTAACAATTAAAAATATTTATTCTTTATTATTATTAATTACACATTATTCACTTTGTATCCCCCCCATAAGTCCCTCCCTCCTCCCCTCCTGATCCCACCCTCCCTTTCCCTTCTTCACGCATGCCCCTCCCCAAGTCCACTGATAGGGGAGGTCCTCTTCTTCCTTCTGATCTTAGTCTATCAGATCACATCAGGAGTGGCTGCATTGTCATTTTCTGTGGCCTGGTAAGGCTGCTCCCCCCTCAGGGGGAGGTGATCAACGAGCAGGCCAATCAGATTATGTCAGAGGCAGTTTCTCTTCCCATTACTAGGTAACCCACTTGGACACTGAACTGTCATGTGCTACATCTGTGCAGGGGTTCTAGGTTATCTCCGTGAATAGTCCTTGGTTAGAGTATGAGAAACAGAAAGACACACACGGTATATACTCACTCATATAGACATATAGCATAGGATAAAGCTACTAAAATCTGTACATCTAAAGAAACTAATCAAGAGAGAGGACCCTGACTAAAACGCTCAATCCCCATCCTGAAAGGCAAAGTGGATGGACATCAGAAGAAGAAGAAAAAAGGAAACAACCTAGGAACCTGCCACAGAGGGCCTCTGAAAGGCTCTGCCCTGCAGACTATCAAAGCAGACACTGAGACTTATGGCCAACTGTTGGGCAGAATGCATGGAATCTTATGTAAGAAGTGGGAAATAGTAAGAGCTGGAGAGGGTGGGAACCCCACAAGGAGAGCAACAGAACCAGAAAATTTGAACACAGGGAACTTCCCAGAGACTCATACTGGAAACAGTTTTTACTGTCAAGTTTGAAATTATGAAATATTTTACTTTCTGGAAACACTAAGTTCACATTTGTAAAGTAGGTAGAAGTGAAATGTTACACTAAGGATTAGCTTACATATCCTAAATAATGTTAAATTATAATTTTATGAAAGTATAAAAGAATATACTTTAACAGTGCCATTCGTCTGATAATTCAGAAAACATTTCATCATTTTTGTTTTCTAGTTTATCAATTTTGTTTACAGTAGAGTATAAAATATATAGATAGTATAAATTATACATGGTTTAAAAGTTTTCATAATACAGTCTTTATAGTTGCTGTTTTTTCACTTGGTTGCTTTCTTATGAAAATAAAGCTACAAATTATTGCTTTTGACTTTTTAGATGATTCTTAAGCTGAATAAATAGCCATTTATTCAGGAAACAGTTGTTTTTTGTTTCTATAACTTCTTAATAATGCAAGCAGATCCAAATGGCACCTTTTGCCTCACACAGTAGCGTGATAGTATGGTTTAATTTTTAGGGCTTCTTATGATACCCCTGCTCCAAATTCAAAACGGAAGTGCCTGGATGAAGGAGACACAGATGAAGACAAAATAGAAGAATATAAGGCAAGTAGAAAATGAGATAGTTTTATGCATGGTTAAGAAAAAAGTTAATCCTTCTAATACATTCGTCTCATCTAGAAAGCTCAACTTCAAGATGTGTTAAATCCTTATGAGTAACTTTTATGTTATCGTACAGTTAAAGCCTTGAATCAGTTTGCTCATTTTATGTTAAGCATATGTAGCTTACATATGATTATGTATATAAAACACTGTAATTATTGGCAAGTACTGGTTAATCTTTTCAGAACAGCAAAATGATAAGTATATCATAAACTTTAGAAGTGCAGTAGATTTTGAGGGGCTTCAGCATTCACTTGAGTGACATTATTCCATATTAACAGCACAAGAGAGTATAATTAAAGTATTTTGACAACTCATGGGTCCCTCAGCAGTTTTATTTTCAAAAAAACCCAAGCTAAACCTCTTTTGTTTTAATATGATCTTTTATTCTTTTAGAATTTTATTCATGTGTATTTTGATCATGTTGACCCCTAATTATTCTGTATCCATTCCACTTCTCACTCCTTTAGTATCCCTTCCAACTTCATAGTCATATCTAAAAACCATAGTCTGTTTGTGCTGCCCATAGACAGACGAGTGTGTAGATATTCACTGGACCATGGTTGACCTACCAGGAACCATACCCCTAAAGAAAGGAGCTTCCCCCCAGCAGCACTCAGCTCTTAATGGCTTATGAGCAAGGGATGGGGACTCATGAATCCCTTTACCTTCTGTGATGGAATGTTAACCAGCTTGATCTTTTGTAAGCAACCAGAGCTACTGGGAGCTCGTGAGTTCAGCAGTCTTGTATTGTCTAGAAGATACTGATTCATCTATGACCTCCCAAAACTCTGCCTCTTAAAATCTTTCTACTCCTCTTTCCCCTTTTCTTCTCTGTTCCCTGAACCTTTAGGGCAACATGTAATAAAGATGTCCATTTATGGCTCTGAATATTCCACAGACACTGGACACTCGGACCAGTTGAGTCTGTATTATCTCCCACACACTGCACAAAGAAGCTTCTCTAATGAATAGTGAGAATGACACCAATTCATCCGGGGGGCTTACGAGCTCCCCAGGCATTAAGTCATGGTTGATTTACAGTGGCAGGCTTCCTTTTTGTCTTGTAGAGTGGGCCTTAATTTCAGTCAGAAATTGGTTGGTTACCCTCATAATATTTATGCCTTGATTGTACCATATACATGCCTTGCAAGGCTGGCTGTTATTGTATTATGAGGCTCACAGATGGATGCTCACATAGCGCTTTCCAGCCTTATAAAGCTAGGCAGCAGGGAAGAAGCTCTCCGCTTGGTATTGGCTGGTTTCTTCATGTCGTGTGACTGAAGAATGTGTGTCTTTAGCAATAGGATCTACCGTCAGCTTCTGGTGGGCGACCAAGAACAATGGCAATAGCCTACTTTGGGGGTGTTCTTGGTACCCGTGACCAACAACTCAAGGGGAGGTATCCCACACTGGCACTGGGATTTTTATTTGGCAACCCATGGCTTCTGGAAGGACCATTATCCTCTGAGTAGGGTAACTCAAATTAAACTTCATTTTAGGTAAAGTTAAAGACTTTAATGCAGTGCTTGTATAAACATATCTGAGGGGAAATAAAACACTGAGCCATAAGATAACAATAATTCAGTATATGTATTCCTACAGATGTAATAGAAAAATATAGATAAAAACAATAAATGTATTTTTTAATTGTTTTTTTCTTAAAGATTTATTTTATTTTATTATGTATACAGTGTTCTGCCTGCAGGCTAGAAGAGGATACCAGATCTCATTACAGATGGTTGGGAGCCACCATGTGGTTGCTGGGAATTGAACTCAGGACCTCTGGTAGAGCAAGCAGTGCTCTTAACCCCAGAGCCATCTCTCCAGCCCTTAATTGCTTTTTTTAATTCAGGGTTTCTGTGGGTAACCCTGGCTGTCCTGGAATTCACTCTGTAGATCAGGCTGGCCTCAAACTCAGAGACCTGCGTGCCTCTGTCTCCCAAGTGCTGACATTAAAGGAGCATGCCGCCACACCGAGATAAATGTATATATTTTAAATATTTTCTTGAATTTCCATTTTCAAGGATGAACTAGAAATGCAGCAGGAGGAAGAAAATTTGCCATATGAAGAAGAGATTTACAAAGATTCAAGTACCTTTCTTAAGGTAAAATGAATTTTTAAGCTTAGAGCTGTTTTTATTTAAGCATTGTGCCTGAAAGGACCTAGTTTTCTGTAGTTTTTCAGTTTTTGAGAGATTTTTGTAATAAAATAAAGATCTTAAATTACTCAGGAAATATTCTTCTGATGGTTAGCTTGTGATAATACTGTATTCATATCAATAAATATTGATAATGTTGGTTTCAGTTGTATTTTCAAATATCAGTGCTTTTTTTTCAATCTGTCATACTTTGTATGGTTTCATAATAAGAACACGCAAGGCTAGTGTATCTGCCATCAGAGTGTATACTGTTATTTAATTTTGACCATTTCTTTAGGGAACGCAGAGCTTAAATCCCCATAATGATTACTGCCAACATTTTGTAGACACTGGACATAGACCTCAGAATTTCATCAGGGATGTAGGTATGTCAGTTTTATTTGGACTATCCTGCTATAAATTATTGCTATATGCATGTGATTTATGCATTTTGTAGATTATTTCTAACAAAACTTTTTTCAGACTTGACTTCTGCCCTCCATTCTCTAGTCTGTCCTCTAGCCTACTTTCCTGTTCTTTAAGCAATGCTATGTCTCTGGTTTTTTTTTACATAAATTATATGCCTTATAACTAACCGATTGAAAAGATATAATTCAGTGTTCTTTTAATGCATGCCTAGCCTTCTCGGAACCATTACAGCAATCGGTTTTAGAACATTTGCTTCTCTAAGGAAGCTTTGTACCCATTAGTGAGACCACATTCCTTCCTTTATCCTGCCCCTTGGGCTTAACCGCTGATCTACTTTCTTTCTGTATAAGTTTGGCTATTCTTGACATTTCATATAATTGAACTCATACAACATGGGGCTTTTGTGATTGTGGTTTTTTACTTAGCACAATGTTTTCAAGGGTTTTTATACTGGGGCATATATTAATCCTTCTTTCATTCTCAAACAGTAGTTCATGTGGTACGTGAATATACACGCACATGTAGGTTTTATTTACTCACTTCGCTTTGAAGTTATAGATTATTTTAGGTATTCATGTAAAAAGTATTATATGTCATGCATTCATTTTCTCTGACCTATACCTAGGAATGGAATTGATGGGTCACGTAATTGTTTAAAAATTTTTTTTAATTCTTAAAAAAAAAAAGTTTGTTAATTCTGTATTTGACTTTTTGAGGTACCACCCCCAAAGTTTTTCAAAATTGCCATGCCATTTCACATTCCTATGAGTGGTGTATAAAGATTCAAATTTCTTCACCTTCTCTGTTACTGTCTGTGTTTTACTGTAGCCACTCCAGTGAGTGCTAAGTATGCCATTGTGTATTTGGTTTTTGTTGTTGTTTTGTCTTATTGTTGTTGCTGTGATTTTTTTTAAAACTGTATTTTCTGTATACGAGTGTTTTGTCTGCATTTAGCCTGTGCATCATTTGCATGCCTGTTGTCCGTGGAGACCAGGAGAAGGCTCAGGTCCCCTGAACTGGAGTTACGTTGTGGTTGTGAGCCACCATGTGGATGCTGGGAACCACGTGGGTCCTCTGCAAGAGGAGCAAGTGTTCTTAACCAGTGAGCCATCTCTCCAGCCTCATAATGTTCTGAGAACTTTGTTTGTAGGCATGGTATCTCCACCCCTCAAGCTCTTCCTCTGCCCCCATTGGTCTCTTCTTTAGCTATTGTTGTTACATGTATGTGCATGTGCATCCATTTAGGATTGCTCTTAAGTACTTGTGTCCCAGGTTAAGTATATCCTGTGTGGTAGTTTGACCCCAGAAGAAACTAATTTCCATGTCTCGGGGTAGCACCAAGTAGAACTCCCCATGTCCATGTAGGCAGCTGGTATTGCCATTATTTGGTCTTGTTCAGGCAACCATATTGTTGAGAGTTCACAGTTTGCATTTTCCCTGTTGTGCCTAACACCATGTGTGCGGGCCCTCTTGCTCTTAATACCAACAGGTGTCCTGGCTCTTAGAATGCTTCCACTCCCTCTTCCATGATTTTCCTTGAGCCTTAGGTGTAGGGATTATGTTGGAGTTGGTCCCTTGTTCTCTGCCTTTTGACTAGTTGTTGATCTCTGTACTAGTCTCCCATTTGTTGAAAAAAAAAAAAAAAGCTTCTTTGGTGTGGGAGTTTAGAATACAGTTA